GACAATTAATCAGACCCTGCTCTGCAGCACCCTGGGATATGCATTATGAGGAAACATAGGAGAGTTATCCCCCTATAGTTAGAACATACCTTCCGGTGCCCTTTCTTATATAGGGGAACCACCACCCCATTCTGCCAATACAGGGGCACTGCCCAGACCTTCATGTGATGTTGAAGAGGCTTGTCAGCCAAGACAGCCCAAAAACATTGACAGTTCTAAGATCCTCTGTCCCGATCTCCTCCACCCCTGAAGCCTTGTCACTGTGGAGTTTTTTAACCACCCCTGTGACTTCAGCCCGAGTGAAGAACGAGTACGACCCTGAGCATCCCATCTCTTTTATCACCACAGAAGGCTTGTAAGATGGATTGAGGAGATCCTCAAAGTATTCCTTCCATCTTTTAAGGATGTCCTCTTTCAAGGTCAGTGGCTCCCCACTCCCACTGTAAAAAACTGTAAGCAAAGCACTGCTTTCCCTTCAGGAGGCGCCGGACGGTTTGCCAGAATAGCTTTGAGGCAGATAGTCTTTTTCCGTGGCCTTTCCAAACTGCTATCAGTCCCAACTGTTTCTAGCCGGTATTGCTCCACCTACTGCACAAGCTCATGCTTATTCACCCCCAGCGAGGTGACATTCTATGTCCCCAGAGCCGGTCTAAGTACTTGCAGATTGGGTCACCTCCGCCTCTGACTGCCACCAAATCCTATCTCCACTGGTCATTGGTTCTGGTCACTCATGGTTAGTTCCACGGGAGGGACCCAGCCACCAGGCCTGAATCTAGTGTGAGGTACTGGTTCTGCCGTACTGGGCAACGTCTCGTGCCACAATGTTTTGGTCATCATGAGGGCTTTGCGAACTGCTCTTTGTCTGACCCACCACCCACAGCATATTGGCCTTGGGGGACCCTACCTGGAGCATTTGAGCCCCCGACAACATAACCCCTGGGATCGTCCAGGCACCGAAACCCCATCCACCACATTTGGGTGGTGGTCCTTCATATCAGAAAATTACATTAAATCTATGGAAAGGCATAAGGTTAGTAATGTAATGATCTTGGGGGGTCTTTTTTTCTAAAAACTAGAAAACGTGCAGCAAGTGATGGACTCAAGACTTCTGTTTCTAGAAGTCTTGAAGAAGACCCTCCTGTTTCTAGAAGTCTTGAAGAAGACCCTCCTGAAAAAGCTGTTTGACTGGTTATGTTTAAACAACAGGACAATAATCTACTTCACACAAGGAAGTCTACCTATTAATGACTAGAAAAGCAAAGAAAAAAAAAAGGATAACCAAGATTTTTGTAATGACCTTTCCCCTTAAACAGGTCATACATGCTAAAAAATCCTTTAATGGGTTTTACTAAAACACAACCATGATGTAAAAGACTAATTTCCCGTTCCTGCAAATGGCTGTTCCTGCCACCAAGGATGTGAAACCTAGATGATAGAGTTGGGGGACTCATAATTCTTAAAGAGGGCCAGGTTAATCCAGGTAGCTTCGAAAAGCTTAGTCTAATAATCCGTCTTAAATATTTGAATTTATTTACTACTTTGAAACACTTTCTTGTGACAAAAACTGAAATCTGTGAGCTGGATATTTTTTTTCCACAGCACCGTGTGCCTTAGGAGTGGTTAATCTTATAGATGTCAAAATGTGCAAAAAACATACAAGAAAAGCGCACTCCGACAAAAAATAGAATTGACACCGGAGGAAAGTCTGTCAAATGTGACACACCAGCTGAGCACGCTGCTGTGGGAATTCTGCAAAACACTCACAAAGAGGAAGCTGTGTTTCTCCTACTTGGCTGTCATGAATGTAGGTCTGCCAAACTGAGCAACAACAAAAAAAAAAACTCTGCTGAAAGTATTACATAAATAAGTATTCTCTGAGATTTTAAATCCTAAGACTGTGGCTAACAGGCGGCTGTTTAAATTGCATCAGTTCCTCTGATGTAACTGCGTATAGTCCTGAACTCCCTGAGAGGTTTTAGTCATTTATTTTGATTAGGGCTGTATTTATAAGATTAGTCTCCAAAATAAGTCACTGGGGAGGATGGGTTGGCAAGGCATGTGGTGGGGGAACAAAATTAAGTCTGTTTGATCATTACAAATTCATACATTTCTGCTTGTCAATTAATTAGCTGCTTCCTGGGTCTGTGTGTCCCTTTCTTCAATCGTAGGGGTCTGGTTCTCGGTGGACAAAAACCCACGGTGCATCCATTGTATGTCTAAGCAGCAGCTCAGCGTAAGGCAGCTGGCGAACAGTAAATAAAGATCCTTGAAAGGAAGGGAGGCTTTCAAGAGCAAGCCTCTTTTAACTCGTGCCATCTGATTTCTGAGAGCACTGTTTGGCTTTTTGATGGTTTTAATTTGCCTCGTTCTTTCCTGAACAAACCCAAACAAAAACTAGGAAAGGACATCAAATTATTTATGAAATAAGAGCAACTTTTGAATTCTATTTTTTTCTTCATGGCAAATTGGCCTCTGTTGTTATGAAAAGGTGTTCTTGTATTGAGGGATTTCATAAAACAGATACCTATACCTGTGCCTTTCTCTGGAAAGATTGAAATAAGGTAAATAAAATGTACACTGCATTTTTTTTCTGGTATATTACAGTGCCAAGTGAAATATAAAAAAAAGCCTCGATATTAAAAATCAAAATGTCCTCTATACAGTCATCAGCATAAAATAATTGATTTTCCAAAATCATTAGTGCACTTTTATGCAATCCTAACAATTCATACCAACCAGTCATACCAAAAACATATTTTTACCTTTTCTTTGTGTTTTAAGTCTGGTAATGTACCAACGTTTTTAATTTTTATCTTATAACTTCCCTAAATCCCTGAAGACAAATTTTTAAACTGTCAAATATGGGGGGAAAAACACAGAGATCATGTAATTCTGACACGTGCCATTCATGCTATCTTTTAAAGTAAATGGCTATTGGTCTAAGCTTGTTTGTATGTTAAGTTTGAGCAATAATTGCAGTTTTAAACACCTGGAAATATGATCGGCTTGAGTCCTTTTAACAGTGAATAGGGGGAAAGATGAGGGTAAGTGTAAGTGATAATCCTACAGTGGAGGATCATGCAAACATAAGTAAAGAGTATAAAACGTGATCTGTATGCTCTAATCTTACAAATTAAATTGGGTTCCAAAAAAAATTTATTTCTTGCATGTCTTTTTATCTCAGGTAACTCAACACACCAGTACTTAGCGTGCTGCAAGTATTGGTGTGCCTAGTTTTGTCTGTAACGCTTTCTTTTACAGTACATTGCTATGTTATTTTATGGTAATAACATAGAAAGTTATGCTATATTACTAGGTAAAAAGAAAAACTTTATGGAGAATTTTGGTCGCGCTTCAAATTTCAGGCAGACAAGGTCAAGTTTGACTTCTTGATTTCAAACAGTTAAACTCTTATTTATATATATAACTTGAGTTCAGTTTTATATTCCTTTAGTTACTTGATCGTTACTTACAATTTACTTTATAAGCCGTAAGTAGGTGGTGGCCATTGTTACATAGTAACATATAATTGTAATAATTACATGCAGGTAATTACTTTGAAATTATATACCTTAATTTTAGATAATTGACAAATAAAGTTTTTCTTGTTACTGTGTAATCTGATGTGACTATTATTACTATGTTATTACATGGTTATTGGATTACTGTAAAGAATGTGTTACTGTTTTGTCCTTTCTCTGCTGACTGTCCATAACATTTGGCAGCATTTGACCCTTTTATACAAAATAACATTAAACAAAAACTACAACTGAGTACAGATGCATGCAACACTTTTCAGAACCCTTTTTTGCTTTTTTTTTTTTTTTTTACAATTATATGCTAATCCTTATTGCAGTTTCTAATAAAAGCCCCTTAATGTTTTTTTATTTTATTTTTGGATTGTGATGTATAAGAACATAAAATAGTCTGAAAGGTTTAAACACCTTTGCATGGTCCACAAAATTAGATTACAATAAAGCTTTTACTTTAAGGGAAAAGAATCTTTTCATCCGAATTCTTAAGAAAGCACATCAGAACCGGTACTCTTCTTCTAAGGTGGTTTGTCTTTGCCTTCAGTCCAGTCTGTCAGAAAAAAAGAAAAATCTGAAATGCAAATACAACATGAAAAGTCAGAGTGATCTTAAGCAGGTTTTTGTTCCCTTCAGAAGCTGTGAGTCACATTGCATTTGGCAACACCTCTCACTTGCACAGTTGAGTTTGCAGTCTTGTTTTTCCATAGAGGAGAAGATGACAGCATGTGGCATGTGACAACTTATCAAATCAAACCCACATTTCCTCTTTCCCATATGTAGGACTCTTCTCGTTAAGTTTCCCTCAGTGCTTTATTTTCCTATAGAAAACATTCTACTCTTTTATTCCCTTGAGCATCAAAATAAGAACATTAAACAATTGAATAAAAATAAGCATCTTCTATTATCTATGTAGAACGCCAGCTATAGACAAATTGTTTTTTAATCATTTTGCCCTTATTTTACTGTTGCAGCCTAGCAGTCAATATTTACTCTAGGAGGCGATTATCTGCACTGACAACATTTCAGACGCCACAGAATCAGAATATGACTATTTAAAATAAACTGTAGCATCTTAAAGGGAAAATTAAAGAGCTGAAAGTGTTTTGGCTTTGCCTGGATTTCCCCTGTGACCTAAAAACAGAACACAAGCATCCAAGCATGTTGTCTTTCATCATTAAACTGTCTTTGGAAAAGCTCCTGAGAGCAGCTCCTGGAGCACAGCAAGAGATTCCTTGTACTCCGAAACATCAAGTGTCGTCAGCGTCTGCTGGGAGGTGCATATTAGAGTCATGGACTTGAGCTTTAAAGATCTTTGAAGAAATAGACAACACTTTGGCTGTCTTTTCACACAAACTTGTTGGTTTCCTCGTTGCTTTATAAAGTAACGCATTTGATATCTAAGGTCTACTAAGTGTATAGATCTTTGACCTTGGTTTCTCACTCTCTCTGCCTCCATTTTGCTCACAGATCAAAGATGCCTACAGTGCCCCAGGTGGTCTCATGAGTGAGGATCCTCACTTAAAGGCAGCTGAGAGAGGTGAGTTATTAAACCTCAGCAGAACATCCTTGACTCAAATGCGCTTTTGTAGAATACGTCTTTCTTTTTTTAATCAAAGATCCACTTACAGTAGAATCTGATAGTTCAGTCCCACCATTACAAATATACATCAGTCTATTGGGATAATGATAATCACGTTACCCTCACTTTTTTGATATACTGTTTCTGATAATACATCCATTGACCATGTGAGGTGAGTTCTTTTCAAAAAGGCTGTAAAAATGGCTATGTCCTTTCTTTAAAAAAAGGTAAAGGCTGGATTGTAGTTTTTTTATGGGTGTCTAAATTGGTTAGAATGTTCTTATCTTCCATTTAAATGTGATTAGAAGCTCTTTTAATGTGGATCCAAATACTGTATAAGGAAATCAGACACATTCTGTGCTTCATTAGGTCCTCTCATACAGCACTGTGAATTGCTTTCCTCTGTTTCACCTTTTTTTCAAATGTAAATGTTTAAGATAATCAGTATGTATAGAACACAGCTGTCAATAGAATTCCCACATTGTAAAATCAAGAATTTCTTTCATTAACCATATTTTTTTGTTTCAATTTACAAGCCAGACCTGGGCTTGATTACCACATAATCTAAATAATTGATAAATTATATAAATAGAACCTATAAATAGAACATAATGTGGACTAAAATGTCTTAGAAAGCAAGGTATTATATATAGATGTAAAAAAACAGATTTGATATAAAGTCATTGATAAATGTTAGACGGAAATACCAAAATTACCTCAAGATGTCATTAATGACTTATTTAGATTCTCACAAAGGACTCTGAGCAACATCTAAAGAAGTACAGGTCTTAGTTTGCTCCTTCTTGCCATTCAAGATTCAAGGGCAAGATTATTTTATTTGTCACAATAACAAGTTTTGCCTGACGAATCCCGGGAAGAGTGTGAACTTGCATCAACTATTTTTTTTTTTATCTCATGCGCTGTCTCTGCAGCTGGAGCCACAGACTGACTGATTGACTAACAGACTGACTTTCAACAGCACACCTGGATTACAAATGCACAGAACCTGCACCTTGTTCAGTATGAGTCCAGTGTTGCTATTAGCAACATTAAGGGGGAAAAGCTGTTAATAGCAAGATATCTGCTAGCCATTCACCAGAAATTTACATTTAGATAAAAAAAAAATGTGTTTTAAAACTGCAGAGCTTGTGGAGGCATCAAAGACAACACTGTATTTTTTAAAAGAACACAATGAAAAAATATAAAAAGAAAAAAAACGTAACACTTTTTTTAAAATTAGTTGTATTGCTCCGATTAATACCAAGCATTTCAATTATCTGCCTCATATCAAGTTTACTGCAACTTGTCTGGTTGTGGGTGGCTGTGTCAACAATGTTTAAAACACTTTGAACCTAGATGTGTTGTATTCAATGAATATATGTTTAATGCCAGCACAGGAATGCTATTTTATGTTATGCAATAACTTCACATTAAATGCTCATCCCAGTAGGGGTGGAAAATATGTTATTTTATACAAATAACTTTCTGACTGTGATCCATTGTTCTGTGAACACACACCCAACTGTGTGTGAGAAAAACCAAATGAAAGGGTAAATCACAAAGACAGTCCACGCGGTAAATTAAACCTTTTTGGTAAAATGTTAATGCCTAATGCTTTATCAAAAGTCAATAACCTTACGTATTATTAGCTTTATATGTTTGTTCTCTATGGAATAATCAGTGGTTGGAACCCTTTTGGCTTCTTTAGGCTTGGCCTATGAACCAATGGAGCTAGTACCTAGCGGACACAAGGGAACTAATTTAAAAAGGACTGTTTTGTCATATTTGGTAATCAAATACAAAATGCATGAGGAAACACAAAAAATATATTTATATTAATCTCTAACCCCTCAGTGAAATAAGGTTTGTTTTAGCTTTACAAACAACAGCAAACAAAGCAGCCTGTGGTACCATGTGGTCACAATTAGCTTCTTGTTAGTTTGCTTTACAGAAGAGTAAACTCATGACATATTCAAATATCCTCAAAAACCCAAATTGTTTAGCTTTAAATGCTTTCCCTAACTTTGCCAGAGCTCTAACCACTGATTATCTCCGTTTTGGAAAGGTTCGACACCCTCACTGTTCAGAATTTTAGCCATCAGGCCTGCAGCATGAAAGCTTATGTCCTCTCTTCTTACTGTAGATGTTGCACACCTCCGGTTTCTTGTACCTCAAGGTTTCCTTTAAACCCAGATAGAAATATTGCAGAATGGTCTGTTTTTGCAAGAATGAGTTCTGAGAGGTACACATTACCTCTGATCGATCTGCAGATTCTGGTCCTTGGCTTGTTTGGCCTTTATTAATGATGACTGTCCATTGTGGACCTTATCTTTAAGGAGATTCACGGCAAAAAAGGATGATACCTGCATGAAACAGCTGCTTTGTACCCAAGCACAGTTAGGGCAGGATTGCATGTCCCTGTGGGAGCATTTTGTGATGCTCCTGTGAGGAGGAGGGGGGTTGCAGCAGTTGGAGAGAAGAGTACAGTAGAGCAAATCTGCATAGTCCTTCATTGATGTTCAAAGTTAACCAGCCTGGACATTAGTTCTCAATGTCGGCAAAGTTGATATCATGGTGTGTGGCGCTACATAGTACATTTTCTGTCTCCATCTTTCTGGTTCTTGTACCTTTTTAGCATAAATCTATGGCACCCCAAACCAAAAATTTGGATTGAATACAATTTACCTCCAGCTTGCAGAAAGGATCCCCTTGATATAAGGTAAAAATAATCAAAAAGGCTCAATAGTTGGGAAGGGAGCTTATTCGCGAGTAGTAATGTTCTTCTTGCCAGTTAAAGGTATTTTTTAATTTCTTACACACATTGTAAGAAGGGTTTTAGAGACACCTGCACTTGCTAAGCTTCTTAAACTACAGCAAGATAAAATATATATTTTAATTGAATGACTGCAATTTCTTCTAGATGACTGAAAGTATTTGCTTGATATGTCTTGAAGATAGACTAAGACATGAGCACCACACTAAAATGACAAGAATGTGAAAGAAATATTGAAACACTACTGAAATAGATTCAGACATGTAAATTATCGACATGACAAATTGTGCTTAGTCTTGTCATGTAGTTGCATAAGATATTTCACCTGGAAAAATGGCTAATGTTTATGTAAGATGTTCGTCTGGTGAAAATTATTCAAACAAATTGCTCTAAGCTCTGCTTTGGATTCTACTTGATAAACATTTAATCACAGAAATAGATTATTTTCATATACCCAGAAGCTTGGTGAATAAAACAGATCAACATACTTTCTGCACATTTTCCTGTAGCCATATATTTAAATGAATTGAAAGGAGGGTACCCTTGATATAGATGTGATAGAGAGAGCTGTTTTCCTGTGTATCGTGTTTTGTTTTCATATAGCCAGTTTATTCTCCCTTTCACACCACCAGCACATTATCCTGCTCCATCTGCTGCCAGGAGACAGAGCCAGGTATTTATGGTGGGCATAAAAAGTGAGTGCATTCCCTGTCACCTATAGCCCAAGATTTACTGCATATTTGACAAACACTCTGAATAAAACAAGGAGTGTTCAGTTTGTATAAGAGTTTAGATCCTGTCTGTTGTGCAAGCTCCCGGCGGATTGCACTGTTAGTACATGTGTGTGCTTCTCGATCTGTACGTACGCCTCCCTGCTGAGTGGAAATGTGTTGATCTATCTGCTTGTGGTGCTGCATATGTGTCTGTATGCCTGTGTGTATTTTTGGGCATGTGTGCGTGCAGTGAATCTGCCTGCTCGGAAACACCAGCAACAGATAACAGATGGTCCCCCTGCATTAGAAGTGTTTTATTTCCCCGAGGAAGCCAGATATGTCAAAAATAAGCATGTGCAACATTAGTCATTTGGAATATTCATGCCCCTGCCGTCCGACGGTTTCCTTTTTACAGCCAAAACACCACCAGCCCAAATCTCCCAAGAAAGAGGGGGGAAGATGGGGGGGCAAAGAAAGCGGTCATCAGCTGAGCTGATAGGGAGGAAAAGGCCGAGGCCCTTCACTTTGGTTTAACATTGGACGTTTATTGCTCAAGCTTTTTTTTTTAGCTTGCTGATCCATGATTTAAACTGGGTTACAGTCTGTGGATATTTTCACATCAAGAATCGTCCCCCTGTCTCTATTAAGGACAGTAATATGCACACATGTTTATGGGCCTTTTTGGCAAAAAAAACTCTTTAATCTGCATCAAGCTGAAAACCCTCAATGTTTCAGACTTTCTTCCTCTAACCTATTTATAGCTCCATCTTTCTTTTTCATTTATATCTCTAGCTGGCTTACATCTCTGAAGCTATAATCTCTTTTATCTTCCCTTTGTTTAAGCAATCAAGCCCATCTTCTCACAACCGAGAGCGGTCACTGTTCTTGTCCTTGGTGGAAGACTGGTACTTTTATCATTATTATCAAGCCTCATTAACCGTCTATATATTTGGAGGTTTTTAACCCTACTAGGAACGTACGGCATCCATTTTTTCCTACCTTAAAAAACAAAAAATAAAACATGAATCGTGAGAAGCACGTTATACTCTCCTTGGTCCCTTGTGTTCAGGGTTAATTCATGGCAGCGTGCATGAATGATGGGCTGAGAGAGGGAGGGAGAGAAAGTTACAGCAATAAAAAGAAGGTGGAAAAGCTACTAACAGGAGTATGGTGCTTATCGCACAAATGCAATATAATTTATTCAGGAATATGCAAATCCAACAATCACTCTGCCTTGTTTACCGAAGGGACCTGCTGATTCAGAGACTGAAAGGGAAAGAGAGGCTGCCAGAGACGCCGACCTACAGTGTAGACACTAAGGCAGCCAACACTATCTCATTTTACTGGTTTCTTTAAAATGAGGTGTGTCGGGCAATTCCTTCCCTATTTACTAGATACTATAACCTTCACATTTAGTCTAGTTATGCTGGCTTATTGACAAAATGTGTTACACAGAGCTTTTGGATGTTTTT